TATCACAGGTTGTGTTTGTATGACATTCTTTTTATACCTGCCCCGTGTCGAATGGTCGTCAAGTAAATAATCACACCGAGAAGTATTTGCGCGTGCGACACTCAGCCATCTGTTCATTTCATGCTCTTTCCCTCTATCTCTCTCTCCCACTTTTCCGCTGACTGTGTGAGAAGAGTTAGCAAATTGTTCGTATGACCGTGCATGCACGCATCAGCACAATCAAACGAAACCAAATATAAATAAAGCAGTTTTTTTTTCTTCAAACCGATGGAAAAAAAAGGTGAGAACTTTATTTAATGACTTTTTATCTCTTCGGCCTCGTTCATCGTAAACAACCATATAAAATCTCTCAGTTTGCTCCGTACACACAGACACACACACACATATATATATATATATATTTTTTTTTTATTGCAAGCCGAATGATGTGCGACGCAAATTTTCCGTGTCAAATGTAATGGCACGACCCCCTGAAACGATATATCCATATCACATGAAAATGATGGATTTCTCGCAGCACACGCACACATACAATCGTACGAAATATATTCGACCATGTGCTTTTTTGTTCTTTGAAACAAAAACAAAAACAATTCCAACTTAATGAATATTCCCGGTTGAGTTTGAGCAGACAGACAAACAGAAACCACATCAAATGTGTTAATTAATTTACCTCACTAATGGTAATCGCATGCACTTTTCGCACTTTGGGCGAGATTTCCGAATTTATAAATAAAACCATCGCAATATCAACAAAAAAAAAATGATGCATCATCAGACAAAAACTTTTCGACCCAAACGCACACACAACAACAACGACAACTAGTCTAATGGTTTTGACCCAAAGTGTAATTAATTATTGTCTAAATCGGAAGAATGAAAAATTTAAATGCAAATGGAGTGGTTTGACTCAGACACAAGTGATGCATGGATTTTTTTTTATTCCTTGTTTCGTAATGAAAGTGATCCTCAAATGCTCATAGGTGATTATTTACAGACTATTTAAATTAAGAGACTGGAAAGAGGCATGGCAGCAAATTCATCACCTATATTTTATGTGTTGGTGTGCAATAGGCCAGACAATGTGTGTGATGATGGAAAGAAACCACAAAAAACTGTGTATTCATTTGTTAATACGTTCCATCACAATTTTTACGGTGTGTACTTGTACTCATCTCGTTGTGAGGTTCAATCGTGCTTGATTTCGGTCCAATTATAGTGGTTTTCAGCTCTCTTTTTATACTTCAATTCCGTTTGAACTGGAGATGAGTTTTATCGTCACGTTTTTTTTTAGTCCACCATGATAAAATCTGAAGAGTGTGGAAAAAAATCGATAAACCCGAAAAAAGTGGTTCGCAAATGAATTCAGAGCCGTGGCTAAGAAATTTTGCTAGCAAATGTGTCAATTAAGTTGATTGAATTGATGATGATTTATGGTCAATGAGATGAAATGGTCTGATTATATAGACGTCGGTTCGAACGGTTTTGCATATTTTGTTGCTACAAAAAAAAAAAATACGCTAGAAAATTAAGACGGAGACCAACCAAAATGAAATTCAAAATGAAGATAGGTAAAATCGATGAAATTTTTTTTCTGTCCCAACTCAATGGCCGGATGTCATTAACAATTTGCACAAATGTAGACAATTTATTTTGTCGACCAGCAATTTAATAGAGTTGAAGCACTGGTGCTATCTATAGCCTTTTTTGCTGCCAGCAAAAAGGTATAGTGTCATTTTGACCGTCATCATTCTAGATACATGACGAATAGTAGTCCTTTGAAATGTTACAATTATTCATATTTGGCATCGATTTGGGCGATGAATTAAATTTTAAAAAATATTCACGCAGGTACACTTTGGCTATAATGGTTTGCTCCTTCCGGCAATTTCATTCGCAATCATGTTCCATGTGCATGACTGTCAATATTTCCACCACAAAGAGTTCGTCATAGCAACACAATTTTCTATCAACACCATAATCAATTCGATGCGGTCGTGTAAAAACTTTGAACACCTCACTCTGCCTCATTCAACAACAGCAACGGATCATTCCCGGCTGTGTTGTGTTGCTTTTTTCCTGCCAATTTCCCCGAAACAGTTGCAATTCTCTTTCAACATATATATATATATATATATATATATATATATATATATTGCGGATGGATCGCCGACTGGGGAAAATGGTTTTGATTGTTCAATTCGCAATCAAGCGAAATGCCTAAAAATGCAAATTCAGAAAATGGCCCGAGAACAAAAGAAAATGCTCACGAACAATGTTATTAAATTCATATGGAATGAATCATTTCGATGCCGCTCATTCTGGATTCTTCATGAACAACAACATAGCGGAATGTGCTTGTTGTGGCATCAAACTTTTCGAAAGGCATTTGTGTATTAAAGTTCATTGAGCATTGTTGAAACTTCTCTTGAAAATGAAATTGGACACAAAAAAGAACTGACGTCATTTGACAGATGTTCATCAATGCATCATTTTGTGTAATCCTTTTCCGCCGGAATTGCGGAATAATGATTGAGTTTGATTGATTTGGCTGTGTGTGTGTCGACAGTCGACCGTAATGAAAAGTGCTGTTGAATTGAGAAAGCGTTAGCCACGACAGCAGCAGACCACGGTGAATACACGCACATTATGAACCTAATTTTCCCAGTCGAGTTCAAAGCATTCGTTCATTTGATGTCCACTTACGGTGGTATTAGCATTGTTGTTGTTGACGAAATAAAAAATTGAAAATGTTATTCGCAAATTTTGGCGATTCAGTTGTTGACCATTTGTAAATCGATTGCTCGGCCCATGGTGAAACAATGATGAATCCAAAATTCAATATTATTATGTGATTATTTTAACATTTGTATCCCTTTGGGAACGTCATCAAATTTCATTCCAACTGAAGCATAAAATTAATCAAACGCTTTTGTTCTTTTCGAAACGAACTGGACTGGGAGTGAACGAATGAACGAACGAATCGCATAGAAGAGTGGTATTTGCGAAAGGAATGACATTCCGCATTTTGTTGTGCACACATCACAACATTTAATTGATTTTTCCACCGTTTGTTTCGCGACAAAACAACATACACACATTCTATGCGCAGCACATGGGGTTAGGCACAAATTTTCTCTATAGCTAGTTCCTCTAGTTATTTAAAATAGCTCAGTGTTTATACTAAATTATTTTCTTCTGCATAATTTCGCAATTTTTTCATATATATTCTGATGTTCTTCTGTGTGTTTGACACCGTCATTGATTGTCTAGTGTTTTCGAAAAGACAAGAAAGTACCGAAAACTGGGAAAAATATCAACGATCACTATTTCTTGTCAATTTTTTTCAATTTCACTATTTTAACTCTATTTCGTTGATTTTATGCGCGTTTGGTATTTCTGTTCTACCCCGTGTCAACACAGCACATAGACAGCGATAGTGCGACATCCGATTCAATACATTCCATTTTATCTTGATAATTACGCAATTGAGCGCATCTATGGATTGTCTCTGTATCTTCGTCTGGACGGAAAGATAAAATCGATAATGAAATGACCATTTGTTGTTTGAGTTCTGGAGAGGAATGGAAATGGTGACGGTGTGAAACGACGATCGGCTTCTTCGATTATTTATAGACTTTGACGAATTTTGGATTTTGCTGCTGTTGCAGTCATTTATTGATTGTCTCGAAATGTTTGCTAACGATGTCGAGAGATCGGGAATTTGATTTTGAATTTCACCGAATACTGCATACAAACGCACATACATAGTTGACATCGCTGCGACTGTAATGAATGGAAAACTTGTATTGGCATAATAAATAAATTAATGCTCGAATGTACGCAAATTTCAAACAAATCCAGTGCACCACCCACCGGGCGGTGCTGCTACTGCTGCTGCTGCTGCAACACAATCCCGTTGAGACTGGTCGCACTTCGTCTCTCACTCGTGCCGAAGTGAACAAACAATCAACATTATTTTAAATAGATTCGCATAATATTTGTTTCAAATTCTATTGAATTTGCTCTCTGTGTGTGTGTGTGTGTGTTTGCACAAAGCATGTTTATAAAGTCGATACAATAAAAGGAGAGCAATCATTGCAATAGCATAAACTACAAATGGAACAGCAGACAACAAATCAATAGTCTGTTGGCTTCTGCTTCAGCTTACAATGAACCATGCCCTTCGAACAGAGTGAAGAAACTGAGACAAGCACAAAACAAAAGTTCCGCCACCAAAAAACGCCGTAAAGAAAATTTCAAAAACAGTCAAAAAGAAGACAAAGAATTTCACGAGAAGTGAAAGTATACAATCAATTCGATGGTTTTTGATTTCTTCCAAGCATTTTCCCCATTAATTCCGTTGAATGAGCGAACAGAAACATCAAACATCCGTTTAAATATTCATGTAGCGAAAATTGCTCGAATATTATTCAACAAATGGTTTGAGAGGAGGTGAGACAGAGTGAGAGGGGATGCATTTAAAACTTTTCTCAGTTTACATCGTCTGGGATTATGCTTCTCATATGCATATGCTTTTGTTTCGTCGATCGGATTTACCGATTGTTTGCATTTTGCATGCACAAGGTCTGTGTCGACGACGACGGCAGCGATAACGAAGATGAGTAAATCATAGATTGATGGGTGAGTCAGTGAGGTAAGCATGACTTATGAAATTAGGCAATGAAAATGGGCAAACAAACCGTTTGAATCATACAATCATACATGCTGGGGTGTCTGTCTTCGGGGTAAATCGAGAAATATTCGATACAATGTTAAATCAAATTATTTTGTCATTGTATGTCCTGTCTCAATGTGAAGCAAAGATGATGAATCGCTGTGATTTCGATTGTGTTTGGAGCTTTGAATTTTTCAAGATCCATCCATTCGGTTTGCCATCGATGCGATTGTGTACGCATCTTCGAAGCAATTTCCAATCAAACTGTGAATATCCATTTTATTACATTTATTTTCTTTATTTTTTTTTTCTTTTATTGCAGAGCTTTCGTCGACAACACATTTCTGCAGATAATAACGCTTGATGAGAATCCATCGTTTGCTGATCTTCCATCGAAATTGTTCCATGGCAATCCGAATTTGATAGAGATTTCGATACGTGGCAATGATTTGCACACATTGGACGCAGCCCATTTTCCATTGGATCGTTTGCATCGGTTACGTTTGGCAAACAATCCGTTTGTGTGCAATTGCTCGTTGTTGTGGCTCTGGCGTTTGACAAACGGTCAAATCAATGAAAATGTCGACGCTGGTGAAACTAGCAATGGTGGATTGTCAACGGGTGGTAGTGTGAGTGTAGCGGCTGTTTCCGCAAGCAATAGTAAAACTATTGCAAAAGTTCCATCTTCATCATCGTTGACAGCAGCAGCAGCAGCAGCAGCAGCAACGACAGTAGCGGAAGCATCGAATGCCAACCACAATCTTCACAATTCAACGCCTAACAATGTGCTTATTTTGGATGCCGATGAAATTGCATGCGATTTATGGGAAGATTCACAACGACATACGCGTCATTTGATGAAAGATATGTCGGCCGGCGATATAAAATGTCCAGCGCACATTGTAACCATTGTCAGTGCTGTGCTCAGTGTATTGCTGATTGTTGTAACGGGAACGAGCGTTTTATTCTACATGCGACGCATGAAAAATCGCCGAAACGCCATGACCGAACGGAAGAATGTCAACGAGCGCATCGTACCGCAACAAGTCGACAAATTGGAATTGGAACGATATTTGGCTGCGCAGGCGGTCGAAAATGAATACCGTGCACTACGACAATGGGAGCTCACAATGAAAGAGCAAATCGAAGAGCCTGATCATTACGAAAAATTTGACGATTTTCGATTTGATACGAGACGATCACAAAAACCGCATGTCGTTTACGTATGACTCAAAAACACATAAGTTAACACGAAAACACACACACACACACACATTTTTCGACTTTTTTTTTTCTTTTTTTCTTCAAACCTTTCTCTTTTTTTAGTTTATATTTTTTTTTTTAAATATTATTAACATTTTTCAAAAAGAAAAAAAAATTCATTGGATTCTTATACACATGCAAAATAAATCTATAAATATATATTTACATTCTGATTCATAACAATAATCAAACTACACTAACATAATTTATGTAAAAAAAATATTATGTGAATTATTGAATAATTCAAAACATCTTTAGACAATTGAATGATATTTACCTATATTTAATAGTATTAACAATTAAGAGGAAAAAAAAATGAAAAAAAAAAATCCCTAAATTACAAAAAACAAATAAAAATGATTTGCGATTCGGTCAAAAAATCCGATATCGTATTCGAATTCGAATTCACTAGTTATAACAAAGATGAGCATCTCAAAGGAAATGTTGCATTTAGATGAACATTTTATAGGACACAGGATTGAAAGTTTTCAATTTAAAACAAATTGAGTGCGTCAATCCGTAATGTTTGCGTGGATGGATGCTAAATGGGCCCAACACACCGCCAAGATAGAATTCAACAAACAAGTCTACTGAGTACCGAGTACACAGTAAATTTGAATGGGATGAATTGTTAAAAAAAATTTATGACGGTATTACATACAGAGAGATGGCACAAAAATGGAGAAAATTGTCAATTTTTTCTCGCCAAGAAATAAGCAATATTAACCGTTATTATGAAAAAAAAATCAATAGATTATACGACCATTATACCCAAATTCGGTTTTTTTCCGTTTGGTGATTTTTATATGTGCATCGAATAAACAACTCGTGAAATCGTACTTCCAAATATTTTCAAACGAATTTCTTCATTAAAGTTCGATGTTCATCCAGCATGAGAATACATGCTCATTGCTCACCATTGAATGTATCGACCACTTAAAAATGCTGAAACAACCTTGAAAAATTTCAAATTTGGTGTGAATCAAGTTTTGTTTGTTATGATAACCGTTTCAGCCATGGACTGCTAGTGTCAAGTCACATAATACTAAACGCATCCATTCTTAATAGGAAAACAATGAAAAATTAATGGGTGCGTTTAATATTATGCAGCATTTACGTGCATTTACGTTCGACACTAGCAGTCGTTGGTTTCAGCTATCATAAGAAACTAGGTACACTTTTTTCTTTCGGGAACTCACTTTCCCACTTATTTTCCATTCATTCATTCTTCAAATTTCCTCCATGAAGAATTTGTGCTTTTATAAAAAAAAGTGGAAGCTCCATTTTCTTCAAAAAATAAAAGAAAGCTCCTCGACCACGAAGAAAATGATACAGTTAAACTAAGATTTTTCGAAAAGGAAAATCTTGAAGAAATGTTTGGAAAATCACCAACCAGACTCATGAAGCGGACCAGATGTGTGATGAAACAGATGTTTGCTAAATGAACGGGCATTGCATTATTGCAGCCAACACACAGTCATGATTTGAAAAATCATAGAAAGTAGTTCGATCATTAATCGACTATTTTGGAGTCATTTTTGTGGCGTCTCCACTCGCATTTAATTTGTATTGTAGAAGCTTGCTTGTCAAAGTTCAAACATCATTGCAAACATATGGAAGTGGAGGAAATGACGCCAAGCTGCACGAGGTTATTTCACAAAATTCCCTCAGCAAACCAACACATAAATGTTACGTCTAAAAGGAAGAAGTGTAGCATACATCTCAACTTTGTCTGTCAGTTTACTATTTTCGAACAAACAATAAAACTAACTAAAAATCTGATAGTTCAGCTGATAAGATAAATCACACCAGATCACATAATTGTAAAGTATTAGATGTTAAATTGCAAAAAGAAAAAAAACCAAAAAGGATTTAAAGTGAGAAGAAAAATCGAGAGCATGACAACAATAATCAATCATCAAAATGAATTGTACATTAAAACTGATAACAGAAAAGAAAAATCAAAATTACATACGACTATATAGAAGACGATGACCAAGCAGAAAGTTGGCTCAAAGCAAAGAATGACAAGAGGAAAGAAAAAAAAGAAAATATTAATAAAATAACTAACTGGTAAGACTAGAAGTTACAATGGAATCAATATTAAATCGAAAACCGATGGAAAATACACAAATTGTTATTCACAAATTTCTAGCATTTAGATTGAGAATTCATTAAGAGAATAAAAAAAGGGCAATTTCATTCGATTTTTTTCCCTTTCCTCCTTCAAACGAACTTCTTTTTTTTCTCTCTTTCTCTCTCAACTTGATAGATTATACTGACTGTAATGTATCGTGACGGTCGCGCATTGAAAGCGCAAAAATTTAACAAAAATAAAAGAGAAATCGGAAAGAGAATAGAGTCAGCCCAGCTGATAAAAAGATGTATGAAACTGTAAATATCAGAATGATACCAGAGAAAAAAAGCATTTAGCATATAAATTCAAAATGGAAACAAAGCACGATTAATCGAAAAGAGTAATGGACTTAAGTAAGTGCATGAAAAGAAAAAAAAAAAAACAATGAATGAATCGAATTATTTTTGCAAACATTAAGAATGTTGAAAAGTCTATGCGGCCGTACAACTTTGATATGGGGTTAATGAAAATGGAAGAATATTTCATTCAAATTTAAAACAAAACAAACACTTCTTCCCTTCGTCGAAACAAACAAAAAAAAAACATAATTCTCACAAATTAATTTTGTGTATATTCATTTTCATTTTCATTTTCCGATTGTTTTTGTTTCGGTCTTTGTTATTGAAAATGGCAAACGAAAATCAGTTTGAGAAAATCAGTTAAGAAACAATTTAGAATTATATGCTGATTTAGTTAAAATATTATTACTGAAACAATGGAATAAAAAAAAAAGAATATATGATACAATTCTCATCGACATCAATACAGATATTCACTTTAACGGAATAAACAACAACAACTTACAAAATTTCTAATGTAAAAAACTGAAAAACTACAAAAAATGAATAAATATGCAGTGTAAAAAACTCTTTGTTTTCAATTTGAACGAATTTTTTACTTTTCAGTTGCGTCAAAAATCGAATGAAAATCACAGCAATTAAAGTTAAGTTTTGATCTTCTTACCCTCCACTTGAAATGTTTCAGTCTTTTTCTCCTCTCTCTCTCTCTCTCTCTCTCTCTTCTTTCTCTCTCCTCTCTCCCTCTCCCCTCTCTCTCTCCCTCCCTCTCTCTCTCTCGACTATTTACAAAAATGGTAAGTTTCAATCTGCGTAAGGGCATTTTCCAGCTTAAATGAAGACACATTTCAACCGATTTTCTCGGTATAGATTTTAACTACGTAAATATGAGACAAAACGTAATGGCATTTTATGGTAGTAAAGCTTGTTGGGCTAAGTAAATACATGGTGTCGATGCTGATAAATGGTCCACTTCAACACATATGAGGTAAGGGGTTTGTCGAGCCTGTAGATGTGTTGAGTGTGCCGTATTTTCCAATTTAACATTGAAGTGCGTACTTATCATTGATTGCCCCGGCAACTGTAAACTGTAGGCATTTAGTAGAGATGCCTTAGCTGTCATCGGCTACTTTTTGGCTTTGTCCGAATCTCGACACACACACACATACAAAACCCGAATGCCATTGAAGTCACATCCTTGAAATTAAAGAGTTTCAACATTCGACTTGGTTGTCATCCGCCTACACGCCGTTTAACATGTGTAATTCGAATTCGTATCAACTGTGCGAATTTGTGTGTTGAACCCCTTTGTCGAAAAGAAAAAAAACCGAATGTAAGCGGATTTCGATGTGGAAAGAGCGCAGAATAAAAAGGTAAGGAACGGTAATAAAATTCCAACTGAGAATGCGATAAAATATACTGCCGCTCGAATTGTCAAGTGAACGAGCGGAGCAAAAAAAAAAAAAGAAGACGAAGAGGAGAAGAAAAAAAATATGTTAAAAGCTGATTACACAATGAAAACGAGTTCGTTAAGTTTGTCCTTGCATTTTATCTCAATATATTTCTTTCACAGAAACGTATTCGAATGTTCCGTCTCGCATTGTGCTCCAGTTCCTTTTGGAAAAATGATGAATTTCGGATTTGATGCAATCATCCGCTTCGATAGATTTACTTTGTATAAAATATATCGATGCTGCGTGTCTACGCAGAGAGAGAGAGAGAGAAAAAAAGAATCTAGGTCATTTATCGTCGCCACTCAATCGTAGAAGGTTCAACACGAACTCTTCTTCGGTTCGATTCTCACTTGACATTGCCCTCATATCGACACGGGATGGAAACACGAAAATAATGATGTGAATATCACACAATTGTCTTCAGACTGACACATTTTCCTATTTAATGCAATCAAAACCATGCAAAGTGTGCACTCGTTATTTTGGTTGCAATGGCTGAGCCAGTTGGATCAATCGATATTTTTCAATCAGAAGCACTGAGAATAATTCGATATTTTCCAACACAAACAAGAGAACCGAACTGTTTTTTTATGCAAATGAAATCGAAATCAATTTGCTGTGTCAATGTTTGTTCGGTTCAATTAAAATTGTCAAAATGGATCTGGCCATATGCAATTATCTAAACATTCGAATTCTGTGTTCATTCGGTGAATGATTCGAAAAACAGATAGAATTTGTAGAAAATTTGAATGAAATAATAGTTTAGGGGCTACAAACACCAACGTTCAGAAGACAACACAGGTTATTCATGTTCAAATTTTCTCGCCTTTCCCCTTTATTTGTACCTCTGAAAATGCTAGTGAAAATGTTAATTTTCGTGAATGTTATTTAAATTATGATATTCATTGATGAATCTATCCAATGCCATTAACGGTAATTTTGTCCCACAAATTCTGATAAACAAACTCAATTTGCATCATATTCAATAATATGGATATTTGGTATCTCATTTTAAAATGGAATTCTTCCAACTAAATAACAATCAAAGTGTCTTCAATGTACCCCGATAATTATGTTTTTTTTTTTTTTTCAATTTTCTATATATATAATAATTGGGAAAAAATTGCCAAATGGATAGCATTTTTGAAACGTGCAATTATATCATCAGTTGGAGAATAATTGTTCGCCAGCCTGTGGTTGATGCATTGGCCATGCATGTTCATTTACATACCGTATCTTAACAGAAGAACTTCATATTTCATTCCAATTGGCAATTGCGATGATTCGAAGTTGAATTTTTTATGCAAAAAAGGAATGGTCAAAAACATGCGAAGAAAAAACTACATTCATCTCAGAAATGTTTTTGAATGCAGAAATTTGCTTTGATCTTTTCCAATATGATGCACAAACCTTATTAATTTTACTATGTCGTACAACTGTGAACTAGGCTTAAGACTCAATAGGTAAACTGTTTACTTTGTTTCTTCATGTTTATTTCTATGTTGTTCAGTGTTTTTTTTTTTTCGCCTCATTTGATACATTCTTTGCTTTAGGAATATTTGAATAATGATTGTAGCAAGCCACATTCTGTCACATTTGGATTTATGCAATAAAATTGAAACGTGAATTCTGTCAGTCTCTCTCCTGCTAGAATCACTCAAATTGTTAACCAATTTTAGTTTATTTGAAATATAAATTTTATTTGACGCAATAAATAAAAACGGAAATAATAACAATTGTTCCAAATTGCAGAAAATGATAAAGCCCTTGACATTCTTGATGTAAATCACAAAATTACAATGGAAGCGGAAAATCAAAGCCAACAAAATGTCGGTAGGTATTCATTTTTTTTTTTTTTTTCATATATTGAATATGTGTACTCAATTTTTTGTATGAGTCAATGAAGAATATCACGAAAATCTCAAAGCGAAAGAACACACTGATGATGTTACATCGATAGTAGTGCCTATTACTAATGCTGATGGATTTTCACCCAAAAAGTTGCCGTATCCAAAGCACATATTCTTTATAATTGGCAATGAATTTTGCGAACGATTTAATTTCTATGGAATGAAAAGTGAGATTTATTTCAGTTTCGTTTCCCAAAATATTCACCATCTTTCCATTTGTAGCGATTTTGTACATTTACATGGTTGACAAGATAGGATTGGATAAAAAATATGCAACAGTTCAATATCATACATTCGGAATGCTTGTCTATTTCACGTGTATCATCGGTGGTGTTGTCGCCGATGTTTGGTTGGGGCCATTTTGGACTATTTTATCGTTATCAATTGTATATGCTGTCGGTAGTTTGGTCCTTTCAATCGGAGCGATACCCGGTATTGGAATTTCAATGATTGGCACTTTATACGCTGGTTTAGCATTGATATCTCTGGGAAGTGGTGGGATTAAGCCATGCGTTGCGGCTTTTGGAGGTGACCAATTCGCACCTGAGCAAACAAAGCAAATGGCAAGATTTTTTTCCATTTTTTACTTGATGATCAATCTGGGCTCTCTATATTCAAGCGCACTCACACCATATTTGAGGAAAAATGTTCATTGCTTTGGTCAAAATGAGTGTTACTCGTTGGCCTTTGCCGTTCCAGCCATTTTGATGATTATCGCGGTTGGTAAGACTATTTTTGTTGAGATTTTATATTACATTTGAAGGGAACAAAGCTGATGATTGACACTTTACCTTTTTTTAATTTTTTTTTTAAAAAACTTTCAATTTTCTGGATAATTCTAGTGCTTTTCTTTGTTGGTAAACCCTGGTACACAATGAAATCGCCGCAGGGAATTATACTATTCCAAGTTGTGAAATGTATATCGGTACAGTTCTTTTTTCATTCTGATCAATTTCAACTGTTTCTATAATTATATAATAATATAATCGTTTTCTGTTGTCTCCATGTGAAATTTTCTCTAGAATGCGATTGTGTTACAGATACGTTTTCGAAAGGTAATTCCACGTGCCCATTTTCTTGACTATTCGATTGGCAAATATGGGCGGCAATTGGTTGATGACACGAAGCTTTTGTTGGAGATCATCGTTATACTGTTGCCAATGCCAATATTTTGGGCACTGTACGATCAGCAGGGCTCTCGTTGGGTTGATCAAGCGACCGAAATGAATGGCAATCTTGGAAATGTTTATGAAATCCCACCGGATCAAATACAATTGTTGAATCCCCTCTTAGTTATAATTTTAGTGCAATTTTTCGACTACTGTGTTTATCCTATTTTGGACAAGTGTGGCATTCGGCGACCGCTACAGAAACTTACTATCGGTGGATTTTTGGCCGCAGCTTCCTTTATCATATCAGCATTTGTTCAATGGGCAATCGAAGATGCGGGTGTGGGAAAGAAGGTGCATATTTTGTGGCAAATTCCACAAATAGTTGTCATAACAGTGGAAGAAATTATGTTTTCAATATCAGGCCTATCATTTAGCTACGAACAAGCTCCCAAAAGAATGAAATCTCTTGTGCAAGCGCTATGGCTCTTGACGTCAGCCGTGGGCAATGCAATCGTAATGGCCATAGCTGAACTCAACTTTTTCAATTCATTTGTTTACGAATATATTTTGTATTCGAGCCTCATGACCATCGATATGATCGTGTTCATGTTTCTCGCCTATAGATTCAAAGGGATAAATCTAAATGAACAAAAACAAAGGCAACAATAAAAAAAAACACAATATTTAAGAAAAATTTGGATTGACAAATACAATTTTTAATATTATTTCAATTCGTAGATTTTTTACATAGGATAGACGTTTTGCTGTTACTGTCATGGATACAATGGCAACTCGATCACTGAATTTAAGCTGTAATAATACACTTATTCTCACCAAAATACTATTCTATAATGTTACGGAACTTAGAAGCTCTGATAAGAGTGTACGCCGAATGGCACCTATACCTATAAACAGACAAGTTTTTTTTTAGTACTTGGTTTCAGTGAAATAGGGCGAATTTCACGACTAAAATAAACCAATCAATGTGAATGGATTTTTGCTTCAATTAACAAATGTTATATAAACACTGCTCTCTTGCCAAGGTCAATCAACTGATTCGCATATTGGGAGTTTTTTGATTGCCAGCGCCATCTATATGACTTTCAGGCGCAATGTATTAGTATATGTTTGACAGCTTAGTCAAGAACTATTTCTAGTAAAGTTACAAACAAAATTCAGTTTGATAAAGGAGGTATGCGCTTGCATTCCAAGTATTTGATAAAGATACAGTGGAACAATAAGATTTTTTTAAGCGATGAAATTGCAGCTGGAGCTAACAAGTTAACCATATTCGTTCCGTTCAGTAAAAAATTGTTGTAAGGTTCCGAAGTTGGAGTAAAGACGAAAATAGTTGCTTTACATGCAACTGATGTCAGAAAATGTTTATTATTTTGTATAATTGTTACATAATCTCCAATGGGAACATCGTCTGGTGAACGAACGTTTTGCGAGAAATGATTGTGTGCAGAAATTTGTTTATTCATTCCTCTTGATTTTTTTTTTTTTTTGTCAAACAAATGACGATTATTTCTTATTACTAACGTCATACTTCATTGTGACGTCCGCCTGATTTCTACTTGTTTGCAAACCACATAAAATATCTATCAGTGTGAGGCAATGAAGTCGGTATTCTTTTGTGCAAATGGTTGAAAATGTGTTGGGTTCAAATTCATTAGGCTGTTCTATCCGAAAGGAAATAAGTCAAAGTTAGAGTTATCAAAGAAGTAACAAAATTGATGTGAGAGCGTTAAAGCTTTTTTTGATTGGATCATTTCGGGGTTTGTGTGATTGGTCTCAGTGGGCCATTTTCCAGTAGCTAAAACGAAACAGATAAACTTAATTTGTTTGTGTATGATTGCATATCGGTCAGAGTATTTCTCGCTGTCTCTCTATTTTCCTCCTAGTTATTGGCAAATCGGTTTTGGTTTCCGTTGATGATGTTGTTGTTGTTGTTGTTGTTTTTGTTAGATGACCAAAGCAGAGCGCGCGTAAACATAGAAAATATATTGGAAATTGCAATCAATTTCGAACACACTATAACTCTCCAACGGTTGAAATGTTCAAATCAAATAGAACGATAGATGTGGCCGGGACGCTGTTCTATCTCTATCTCTCTCTTTGTTATTGTGTTATTGCTTCGCTTTTATTTGGCGTGTGTGTAGTTAATGCCAAGTAAGTCCCAGATCAGTCGGAAAAGTCTTATGAACATTTAGAATGAGCATCTTTGACACAAAATCATTTCCACCGGATGAGTGATGTGTGGCAGAGACGTCGATGGTGCACACTGGAGCTTCTTTGTGGTGTTCGTCTCCAACGGATTCCCGATAGACTCATTTTGAGTAAAACTTTAATAATATCCATACTGAAAATGTGGCATCGGATCAAAGTCGAAGCTCTCGCGACCAATTTGTATCACATTGAAATCATACGGACGATCATTGGCGGCAAACAAGGAGACATGCGAAGTAATAAGACACATATACAGACGTAGAGACTCTACTAGAGAGATAACCGGTGAGACGAAGTAGCCGAAAATAGCGACAATGTAAAGAAAAAATATTGACAAAATGACAACAAAAGCCATACCAAATCGGATATACAACGGTTAAGTAAGAATATGTCATACTGTTAGCAATCATCGTGTGCATTTAACGTTATATCGCTGCCAATGGCTGTTGTCGACCACCCCCCTCTATCGCATCGATAACAATAAACGCAACAACTCGGAAATAAAATCGAATGAAAAGACAAAAGAACGCAGAAGACAGTCCAGCTCAAATGTATTTGTTGCTGGTGCATTTCTTTCATATTTTGGATTTTTAAGTGAGTGTTTCGTTTTCAACTGGTTTTGTTGAAATCTTTGGCTTGGGTGGAATTTTTTTGCGAATCTCTTTCTGTTTCGATAGAAAAATGGACGCGTTTCTTGTCCATTGCATTCTTGTGAGAGACAATATCTTTTTCTGCCCTCGTTTGCCCGCGTTCTTTTTTTCATTTTGCTTTCTCCTTCTCTTTTTCTTTCTCGCAACATCACACATCCAATTTAGCGAAATGGGATTTCTTCTCCCCCTTTTGTTGATTCAATATCATTGATACGTTCATAAGATACGAAACAAAACAAATGTAGCTCAACACCGCTCAACAGTCTGTATACTGTATCGCTTGAACACAAAGTTTATTTATTTGCCTTTGTAATATTATCCACCTCTTTTTCTCTCTCTTTTACTATATTTTTTCTCTGTCGCTTCGCTTCGATATCTTTTTTCTTTCCATCTCTCTCTCTCTCATTTTGCTGCTCCAATGTATCCTTCGCTTCAGAGTTCGGTCACTAAATGCAAAATGCTATATATAAATACAAACACATGCATCTACGGAACGAAAATGGCATTTTACAAGTAAAAAAAGATGCTAAACCACAAGCTGTGGCTGGTATATACATCGAAAATGTTCCTGTGATGCACGGCACCAGCCATATGAAACGTTTGAATCGGTCTTTTTATTGTGTTCCCGTTCGATCGTAGCTAATCATTTGAGCTACATATACACACACACACACACTAATTCGTTGCACTGTGCTAAATGGCCTTTGTTATCGTTTGCCATTTTTCGCGTTATCGTATCGATTTCGATTCGTTTGACTCCCCAATTTATGCCAATTTTCCTTATTCATTTACGAAACGTACTCCGTTCATTGTTTTATGTCGAACTATTGCAATAATGTGGCCAATACTGCAACATCCATAACTTATGTGTCTCTTTTTCACCCTGCTTCGATCTTTCTCTGTCCTTCTTTTTCTGCACGTTTATTATTAATATTTTCGAAACTAATAATAACAGTAAAACGCACAACATACTCTGTATGTAACGACAACACATCATAAGATCTACGCAAATCACTACCAAAAATGGCTTTTAGCTGTGCTAACAGTTTACAAACGATTTTGCTGGACAAATATTGTAACAAACAAAACATTCCAATATCCAAACATCTGGACCACGTCACGCTGCATCACAGGGTAAATCGTTCACACATCTCCAAATCCATTGAAGTTTGTCCCGTTATTTTTGCAGGTCATGTGGATGGGCTTTGATTTTGGAACAAATAATAGTCCAAACTGTCCGTTTAAAAGCATACCTGCCTGGCTTGTATTGCGTACATTATATTTTTTTACTGTTGTTCAACTCGAACAGAGATACAACGACGATGATTTGAATCAGCGTGTGACGCTGAAACAAAAATCCACTTTTAATTGTGTTGAAGTTGAACGAACGTACCAGCAGTGAATTCAGTGTGAACTGAATGCCGATGTAAATCGGTGTGTGACCAACTTATAGTGTGTGCGTTCATCGAGAGATCGAGAGATCGAGAGAGAGAGAGAGAGAGAGAGAGAGAGAGAGAGAGAGAGAGAGAGAGAGAGAGAGAGAGAGAGAGAGACAGAGAGAGAGAGAGAGAGAGAGAGAGAGATATTTGCCCAGCATGAATATTCTGTTTTCCCGCGTAAATTTGGAAACGTTGATAAATTTAGTGGTACTGAATATTGTTTGGTAGTCATACAATGGATTGGCTGTGAAATAACTAGGCCACAATGTTGTATACACAAATTGTCAAGTGTGGTATGAAATTGTAGGTGCCTCACAGCACCAACACGAATTGAAAAAGGCCTTTTAATGATCTATAGATACACAGCAAAACATTTGAGTGTAAAGTTTACTCTTGAGTTAGGTTAATATAGCGGTTTCAACTATTTTAGGGGAATTTACACCGAATTTTGGGTAAAATGAGTTGTTTTCTATGCGTCT